AAGCGAGCGCTTCCAGATCAAAATGACATTCGCAAAGATGAACAAGTCGCTGATCGAACCCCGGTGCGTCTTTTGGAATTTCACTTTCTCAGGGGACCGAGGTGGCTGGGACGGCACTGGTTGCGAAAGAAAAGAGGACGACGAGAGCGTCACTTGCTCCTGTAATCACTTGACCTCCTTTTCTGTGCTGATGTCGCCCGCTGGACGTAAAAACCATGGAAGTCACTGGAGGGGACTGAGTTATATGACTTACGTAGGCGTGGGGGTCTCCATATTGAGCCTGGTGGCCTGTATTGTCATCGAAGCTCTCGTATGGAAATCAGTGACCAAAACGAGAATATCTTACATGCGCCACGTTTGCATACTGAACGTTGCGATTTCTCTCCTGATCGCGGACATCTGGTTCATTGTTTTTCTACCTCTCTGTTTTCTTTTGGATGCTCTCCTTGAGCCTCATGCTCTTCTACCACTTGGTCTTCATTTTACACAACACAAGCAAAACCACCATGAAAGCTGTCGCCTTCTGCTTGGGTTATGGTTGCCCTCTGGTTATCTCGGGCATCACCATAGCCGTTACTTTGCCACAGGAGTCTTACACGAGAGAGGACATCTGCTTCCTCAACTGGGACAAGAGCTATGCTCTCTTGGCAATGGTTGTTCCTGCCCTGACCATTGTGGCTATCAATGCTGTGATCACCATTGTGGTCATAGCGAAAATACCGATACGTTCCATCGGGGAAAGGTCAAGAAACGACGAGAGGAGCTCATTGTATCGAATCACCAAGAGTATTGGCGTTCTGACGCCACTCTTAGGACTTACCTGGGGTTTCGGCTTGGCTACCATTTTCGAAGGGAGCTCACTAGTGTTCCACATTTTATTTAACTTTTTCAATGCCTTTCAGGTAAGTAGATCGAAGAAACCGATTGGCTGATAGAGCTGGATAGGGAAATGTAGCCGGTATTTTCCGGAGGCCACCGAGAAACCCATAACACTTCATAGATGGATGGGGATGGGGACTTATGCCTTCCATTTTCATGTGATGCAGTCAACATGAATTTGGTGTGATGATCCTCCAATGATCCAAACCATGTTAGTAGCATCTTGTTATTGTTATATGTGAATACCATCCATAATGTCTGAAGGGAAAGGGATTACTGTTCACAACAGCTATCCATCTATAGATCTGCAGAAGAACCATATACACTTGCATATGAATTCAGCCGCAAAGTTGGGTTTGACTTGATTTTAAGTAGTTTTGGGGAAACCAGAGTCAAAAGGGCTCTGGGGGGAGAGGAAGGTGAGGAAGATAGTGGACTGTCAGCACTTTCCAATGGGCAGTTTGTGGGATCCAAGCCATAACACAGAAGCATCACGCTCATTTGTTACAAGGGTCAGAGCTGATAAAAAATGTCACTTTGTTGGGCCGGGTCAGATGTGCCATAAAATGTAATGCCAGGTAACAGAGATATAAACTTTATAAAGGACACCGGACAACCCAATTAACAATGTTATTATTTACTCAAGATAGAAACATGACTAACACATTAACACTTACAGGATTTCCTTAAAGTATCTCCCTGATGCCCACCCTCCCACTTCCACCACCCGTTATGCATTAGTACTGGGACAGTATATAGGGACATAATGCACAGCCTGTCATCTGGTCAGTTGCTTGTAGGCCAGATAAGAGCCGTGGACAGGCTGGTTCTGGGCCCAGGACCATATGTTTTGCACCCCCGGCACCCCTGCCATAATGTATTGCCATGAGCTGTGGCTAGAAAGGTTCTCTGATGGCTGCCACCACTCTGGTATTGGTCTCCTTGGGAGGGCCCAGAGCACCCCACCCGACCCCTTTGTACCATAATTTTCCAGTACGTTTCCATTTATATGTGACCAAATGAGGTGTGAGGACCCAGGCAGAGTAATAAACTAGTTTTATTAAATAGCTTTAACGATAACTGTAGTTCAAAAGCATGTAGGAAAAACGAACACAGTAAAAGCAGGTAAATCACTAAAATAAGACATCCCAATGCATCTGACTATACTGTCCGTCACTTTCTCTGGGCACCTGTTCTCAGACTGACGCACCCCCTGGGCGTGAACCCCCCTCCCAACTTCAGGGAAGGCCTTTTATTCCTTCTTCCCAGGCACCACCCTCTACTCCTCTGCTGGTGTCAAGTTTTCCCTCCCAAAATCCCCTGTTAACCAGTCACAGGGTCCAGAGGGAACCTGGGAAATGGAGGCCCTGATAGCTACTCCAGTATAGGTCTCTCCAGAGCCTGTAGGCCGCACCACTATAGGCCCAGGATCATGACATGTGTACCGTGTTTCCCCGAAAATAAGGCACTGTCTTATATTTATTTTTTCTCAAGAGGACACACTAGGGCTTATACCACAAATGCATAGAAATCCTGCTAGGGCTTATTTTGGGGGTAGGTCTTATTTTCGGGGAAACAGGGTATATACTCATTCAGGGATATTTGCTCGGCTACCTAATAGAGGCCACCTGTACAAATTGATTGGAACTAAATGCATGGTAGAAACGTAATTCATTTGTCTGTGTGCTACTTCTGGACTAGTGGCAGAAAGTGCTGTCAAGTTGCAGCTGACTTACGGTGACACCGTAGCATTTTCAAGGCAAGAGACAAATGGGTAGTTTGCCATTGCCTGACTCTGGCCCCGGTCACACGGGCCGGATAACGTGGGGGGGGGGGGGGGGGGGCTAGTTATGCTGTTGCAGTTTGATCCGTGATTAAGCGATCAGACGCGAAGGCGGTGCAGTGGGGTTTTGCCAGTTGGTGCCTGCGGCAAAGACGATGGCCAGAGGGAAGAGCTGTGCGCCGGCGCGACCACACCAACCAAGTCCATCAGCAGCCCGTGGCAAATCGGTTGCTAGTACTTTTTAACTGCGGGTTTTCGGCAGGAAGCCACGGGTGCGCTACACTTGCCAGATGTGATCAAGCATGGATAATCTGCCCGGCATCCATGGCTCTCCCACGGCAAATTCACTGTGTGAACGGGGCCTCTGTGTAGCAACCCCAGTCTTCCTTGGAGGTCTCCCATACAAGTACTAACCCAAGTACTGGGACCTGCTTAACTTCCAGGATCTGACAAAACCAGGTTAGCCTGGGTCATCCGGGTCAGGGCAATTTGTCAACTAATTCCTTTAAAATCCCAGTTGAAGGATACCTGATCCAGCAGTCCTTCCTGATCATAAATAGTTCTAGGTCTGGTTAGTGCCTGGATGAGAGATGAGCCCAGTGATGTAACAAAGAAAACTCACTATAAAACTGTGTTCCCTGTCCTGAGAAATTACCCTTTCCATTGACCCACACATTCATGAGTCAGCCAGTTCCTCTGGACTGGGCCTGATTCCTATTAACGCCACTTCAGCAATGCGAGTTTAAAAGGTACAAGAAGTGGGGACCCGCAATACTCACGGGGGGGGCTGGGGAAGGTATGGGAAGGCATTTAAATGCCTCCCCGATCCTTCTAGGGGCCCACCTCAGAGTCACTGGGGGAGGGTCGCTTTTCAGGCCTTTTGTAGCCAAGCACACAGGGGTTTTGGCTGTAGTGGGCGTGACCAACTCGGAAGCCAGCCGGATCTCTGTTCCTGTGCGTTCCTGCCCCAAAATAGCCCTGCTTCTTACAGGATTTCCTTAATCTTCCTGATGCCCACCCTCCCACTTCTACCGCCCGTTATGCATTAGCACTGGGACAGTATATGGGGACGTAATGCACAGCCTGTCATCTGGTCAGTTGCTTGTAGGCCAGAAAAGAGCCGTGGACAGGCCAGTTCTGGCCCATGGACCATATGTTTGGCACCTCTGCCATAATGTGTTGCCATGAGCAGTGGCTAGAAAGGTTCTCTAATGGCTGCCACCACTCTGGTATGGGTCTCCTTGTGAGGGCCCGGAGCACCCCACCCGACCCCTTTATACCACAGTTTTCCAGTACGTTTCCCTTTATACGTGACCAAATGAGGTGGTGAGGACCCAGGCAGAGTAATAAACTAGTTTTATTAAATAGCTTTTAACGATAACTGTAGTTCAAAAACATGTAGGAAAACATGTAGGAAAAACGAACACAGTGAAAGTAGGTAAATCACTAAAATAAGACACCCCAATGCATAGATATATAGATGCTCTCCCAGAGGTACGAAATTTGTGATAGGGAATGAGCTTTCCTGAGTCACTGCTCACCTCTGCATGAACCATGCCTCCTCCGCTCCGGAGTCCTGCTTCAGGGCAATGTCGGACACCCCCCCGAGTGCCGAAATCGGGGTGGGGCCGACACAAGCCCTATGCTGCTAACCCTCCCTCCAAGAGGGTTAGGAGAAGCCCACCCGGTAAGCCGGGGGGCTCCTAGAACCCACGAAGGGTCTCGGCGAGGCGCAAGACGCGCTTGCCCGGCGCGACGCCGTACCGGAAGTCCTCAGTCACAATTTTTGTACATCAGTGATCCAGCCATATTTTATGAACTGGCAACTCAGCCCTCCTTCCAAGTGATCAGTCTTTCCCTCCTCTGGCTTTTTGAAGTTGTGCCTCCATTCGTTATCCTGGCAATAGAACACAAATCTGTTCGCTCGTTTTTCTCCCTGAGCCAAGAATTTATTGCCCAAATTTCTGATGTTTTGTTATTTTTCACAACCCGGGGCAATCAGAATTGAGAAATGCCTTGCTTTGGGCTTTTCCAGACCAGGTTTCCGTGCTGGTTTGAAAAAGCACAGGAAAAACTTAGGGTGGGAAACGGAGAGCAACGGGCAAACCGTACACTGTATAAAGGATAAAGGTAAAGATTCCCTTGCTCGAAAGCCAGTCGAGTCCGACTCTAGGGTTGCGGTGCTCATATCCGTTTCCAAGCCGAAGAGCCAGCGCTGTCCGAAGACGTTTCCGTGGTCATTTGGCCGGCATGACTAAACGCCAAGGCACACGGAACGCTGTTACCTTCCCACCGAAGTGGTACCTATTTATCTACTTGCAATTTCTTGCTTTCGAACTGCTAGGTTGGCAGGAGCTGGGACCAGAGACGGGAGCTCATTCCGTCATGCGGCACACTCGGGTCTTGAACTGCTGAACTACTGACCTTCCACAGCCTGCAGTTCAGCGTCTTAACCACTTGAGCCACCGCAGCTCTGATAAAGGATAAGGGAAAATGCACTTACGAAGTCAAACCTGGGGGGGGGGACGACCCAATGCACAAAAGCCCTTAGTCTAGAGGTGAGGTTCTTTGGACACCAGAGGGATCCCGTTACCTTAAAAATCTGTATGCATAAGAATAAGATGGGTAGCCATGTTTCGTCTGTCTGTAGCAGTAGAAATGACGAAGAGCCCGGTAGTACCGTAGACTAACAAAATATGTGGCCGGGTAGGAGCTTTTGTGAGCCTGATATCTGAAGAAGTGAGCAGGGACTCACAAAAGCTCCTCCCCTGCCACGTGCTCTGTCGGTCCTGAAGGTGCTTGCTCTTTTCTGCTGCTACAGATAGACAAACGCGGCTACCTGTCTTGATCTATCCCATTAGGTGCTGCTGGTCTCTTGCTCTTTTCTGCGGCTACAGATAGACAAACGTGGCTACCCGTCTTGATCTAGCACATCCTAGCTGTCTCTGAAGACGTGAGCCGTGACTCAGGAAAGCTCCTCCCCTGCCACATATTTCGTTAGTCTTTAAGGTGGTGCTAGATTCTTGCCAACCTAGCAGTTCGAAAGCAAGACATTGCAAGTAGATAAATAGGAACCACTTCGGTGGGAAAGTAACAGCGTTCCGTGCGCCTTGGTGTTTAGTCATGCCGGCCACATGACCACGGAAACGTCTTCAGACAGCGCTGGCTCTTCGGCTTTGAAACGGAGATGAGCACCGCAACCCTAGAGTCAGACTTGACTGGCTTTCGAGCAAGGGAACCTTTACCTTTACTTTAGACTCTTGCTCTTTTCTACTGTATAAGAACGTATAAGACACTGTTACACAATGTTATATAATCTGAATTTGCAAATGTTTTACAGGGATTATTCATCCTGTTGTTTGGAATTCTCTGGGACAGAAAGGTAGGAGACGAATCATATTAAAGCAGCACGGTTTGACGGTTGTAAAAACCGCCACTGTCGCTCGATTTGGACTTTAATTCTCCTTCTTTCAAACCTGCAGGTACGGGAAGCCTTGATGAATAAGTTTTCACTGTCCAGATGGAGTTCACAAACTTCAAAGGTAACCTATGATCCAAGAACAAATAACTGGTTGGTTCCAAAGCGCCCTCCCACGGATGGATGGTAACTTCCTCTATTGGAAGAGCAGCTGTGTGTCTTCCACAACAAGTGCGTTGCCTAAGGAAAGAGATGCTAAATCTGAAGCTTTCCTTTTGTATGGGAATTTTAAAACCCTCTTAGATAAGTGAAGGATGAAAACTGAGATGGAACCTCCCTGGGCCCCAGTACAAATTTCTGGGCCAGCAATGATAGAACAATGCTAGTTGCTGTTTTCCTTCCTTCCACTCGTGGCGCTTTGAATCCAGCCTATTATATTTGTGTAACTGTAAAACAGAAACAGTGCCTAAGTATATCTCTAAGTAGATATCTACCTAAAGCAATTACTTCCTATGTAGTTAAAGCCATAACTGAATCCAAGGATGAATATGGAGAGCTCCCCTAGCCAACCTATGTCATTCCATAATCCTTGTGTTCTCTCTTCCAATGAAGGGCTTAATTCTCTGGTGTTTCAATTCCCCACTCTGTGTGCGTGTATTTTAATTTAAAGCTTTAATTAAAAGGCTACTGAGGTCAGTTTGGTGTAGTGGTTAGGAGTGTGGACTCTAATCTGGGAGAACCGGGTTTGAGTCGCCACTCCTCCACATGCAGCTGCTGGATGGCCTTGGATCACTCACAGTTCTTTCAGAGCTGCTCTCTCAAGAGCAGTCCTTGGGAGAGCTCTCCCAGCCCCACCTACCTCACAGGGTATCTGTTGTGGGGGGGGGGAGGGAAGGGAGATTGTAAGTCGCTCTGAGACTCCTTCGGGTAGAGAAGGATGGGGTATAAATCCAAACTCCTCTTATACACCAATCTAAGTGAATGCAGAAGAATGAAAACAAAAACAAAACCCAAACCTGGGTTGGATCCAGTTGGCTTTCCTGCTGGTGGAAAAGGGAAGAGGGATGCCCACTATGCTGAAGGTCCTGAGACCTGTATTGACAAGAGGCCCGTGGCAGGGAAGCTACAGGAAGAAGGGGCCATTGGCAAGACTGAATGAAAAGGCTGGCTGGATCCAGCCCGGTTCACGTAAACGTTATCGGGGGCCCAAATACCAGCATGGTGAAATATGTTTCGTAATGACACAGTAACTGCAGTCATTATTTGCCTATATATCTAGTAGCAACTCATGGCCCCCATTTGCAGATATCTAAATCTGTGGATCGGGGCCACACCGTCACTAAACAGATTTTCAGATAAGATGGACTCCTCGGGTTTGTAGAAGAATTTGAATTCCTTGGGGAAAAATACATCAAAGGGTTTAAATCCCCCCCCCAAAATAAAGAGTGTTGTCTGCACCAGTGTTCCCTCTAAGCTGAGTCAGTGTGAGCTAGCTCACAGGTTTTTAGCCTCCAGCTCACACATTTTTGTCTTAGCTCAGGAAGGAGGGCTCCAGAGCAAACTAATTTATGCAGTAGCCAAATGGCTCACTCACAACTTTAAAGCCAGTAGCTCAGAAAGTAGAATTTTTGCTCACAAGACTCCACACCTTACAGGGAACATTGGTCTGCACGTGTGCTTCCTGTGGTTCTGCGGTGGCAGCAGGTGCCAGGGTCTGGTCCGGGGTGGGAGACATTCCCAGATGTTGCTGCCCCTGCAGAAGGCTTCAAAGGTATCTTACGGAGTGCCCGTTGCCTTCTACCCGCCCTCATTTCAAGGTCACGTGTGTGTTATTTCCATTAATTTTAACCACTGAGATCCTGATACCCCTTGTAGAGGAGCACCCTAATTTCCTCCCCGCACACACACACACACATATTATTGGTGGTGATCTGATTCCATTTAGGTACTTGCAGTCCACTGTGGGGTCTATATGCATCTGTTCTTATTCTGCGCATGAAAGCAAGATTCCATGCGTGTCCCAGGTGCATCAAGACATTTCTGCTTACTGATGTGGGGTTTAGTTTTACTGGAGGCCACAGATGTTTTGCAGGGGAATATTCTTATTTGTGTAAGAATATAGCTGCGTCCTTAGAATACACAAAGAAACTACTTGTACTTGTTTACTGAAGTTTCGATTCCGTACGCCCTTTTCACCTTTGTAAACGTTTTAGAGCACTGATATTTAAAAACTCTGGAGATACTGGCGGTTCACACTGTGAAGCGATTTTTATTTAATTGACAACAAACAAGCTAAACAGAATAAGAAGCAAAAGGTGGGTGTGGCTGGATGACCACACTTCTGGTAACATAGAGGTGCGGTCTAATGTGCTAATGAGCGGTGCTGTCAGGGGTGTGGCCTAATATGCTAATGGGTTTCTGATGTTGGGTGTGGCCAATTATGCTAATGAGTTCCTGCTGGGCTTTTTCTACAAAAAAAGCCGTGGGAATATTCTTATTTGTGTAAGAATATAGCTGCGTCCTTAGAATACACAAGGAAACTACTTGTACTTATTTACTGAAGTTTTGATTCCGCACACCCCTTTCACCTTTGTAAAAGTTTTAGAGCACTGACATTTAAAAACTCTGGAGATACTGGCGGTTCACACTGTAAAGCAATTTTTATTTAAAGCCAAGGGTTTGCTTAATTTAAATGATGGTGAAATAAAACACAGAAGCTGCCATTTGCAAAAAAAAAAATATTCCCTTTTAAATTCATCCCGATTTTTGTCTTGCAGTCAACGGTCCACGGCCCGTCAGCTCCCATGTTCTCCATCAGTTCTCCCTTCTCCAAAACATTAAACAACTTGTTCGGCAAAGCAGGTAAGTGACGTCAAAAAGGAAGCAAAGCCAAAGTGGGCGGTTTTGAGAGTTAAACAACCCAAATGCTTTGGGTCGTTCCACGAGGCGGACCTTCAAGGGCCTGCAGTTTTAATGCAGTGCGAGGCCCGCCCTGTTTTTCTTAGACCCATAGTGCCTTGCGTGAAGCCATGAAGCTGTATTATACTGAATACAATATACTGAAGGTCTGCCCTTGGTTCATCAGGACTGTCTACACAGGCTGGCAGCCATTCCCCAGGGTCCCAGTGGGAGGTCTTTCACATCCCCGACTACCTAGTCTTTGTAGCTGGAGAAGCCAGGGATTGGACATGGGATCTCCTGTACTGCTTGGCAACCCTAACCAGTGTTCCCTCTAAGCTGAGTGAGTGTGAGCTAGCTCACAGTTTTTCAGCCTCCGGCTCACACATTTTTGTCTTGGCTCAGGAAGGGATGGCTCCAAGAGCAAACTAATTTATGCAGCAGCCAAATCACTCGCTCACAACTTCAATGCCAGCAGCTCATAAAGCTGGATTTTTGCTCACAAGACTTCACAGCTTGGAGGGAGCGTTGACCCTAACTGGGGGGGGGCATGCTCTGGTTGTTGGGGGCCCCCCAGTGGGGTGGGGGGGTGTCTCCTGGCTTTGGGTTCTCTCTCCCAAATCACCCCCCTCTGTCAGAACCCACAGCCAACAACGGAGTACACACTTCTTTAGGAAGGTGATACTTTTATTGAAGAGCCATAGATGCATTAACATAGTCACTGTTAAGAATAGCGGTTGCCTCTTGAACCTAATGAGATATAGGGCATTCGTTTGCACACACACCCCACTGCGCTGGCCAATTAGGCACCCTCCCGCACGCGGGCTAGAGCCAGCAAGCGTTACTATGCGAAGCTGGGAATATTTTGGCTCCCACGGCTGGCCACCTGCACTTCTTAAGAGATGAGCATTTCAGCGCAAAGCAGGAGAGAGGAAGGAATGCGAAAGCCGTTTACACAGATACTGAAAGCACATCCCAACCCCCATGGGCAGCATAGCTGACACCCTCTTACTGGCAGGAACCCAGAAATCATTGCAATGTGCCTACGAAAACTTGAAGTGACATAGGCATGTCGGGGACACTGGGGGTGGGGGCATGCTCTGGTTGTTGGGCAAAAAACTCTATGATTTGAAGCAAAATCTACCATAGAGTTTTGCCAAAAAAAACCAGAGCGTCCCGTCCCCCCGACGTTCCTATCTCACTACCAGTTTATGTAGGCACATCGTGATGCTCCTCCCCACTCCCGGAAAGTCCCTTCCCCACCGGCGCAGTGATTGGACCTGGCCACCCTCGCCCGTTGTGACCTTTCTTTGCATGCCTAGAGCTGCCCTCTTTGAGATGAATGGGGAAGCCACGGGGTTGCGTCCCGCCCCTCTTTACATGGAGCAGAGTGGTAGGATACCAGATGCTATATGCAATTGGTGCTTAATGTACATAGTAGTGCGCAGGGCTATGGACTGTGACATGGATAGCTCTAGACACGTGTGACTCTGGCAACTGCACCATGGCAGGGTGTATTAGTGGGCCACAGAGATGAGAGATCATTAGTTTGGGACTTCCTCCTATTCAGTGTTTCCTGGGCTGCCCTCAGCTGTGAAAAGAGCCATGAAGCTGTGTTTTTACAAAGCGGTTTGGAAGTAGCATTCAGTGGCCAAAGGGAAAAGTGGAGTCCCAAATTCAAACCTCTGGCCTTAAGAGAGCCAGCGTGGTGTAGTGGTTAAGAGAGGGGGACTCTAATCTGGAGAACCAGGTTTGATTCCCCACTTCTCTACATGCAGCCAGCTGGGTGACCTTGGGTCAGTCACGGTTCTCTCAGAGCTCTCTCAGCCTCTAAAAACAAGTCTAGCTTGCCGCTAGCATAACGCTAAGAGCTAGAACTTGTGACAATCTTAGGATCCCCTGGCTGGCTGCCGGACAACCTTAGGATCTCCTGGCTGTTCGACATGCAATGCCATACAGTAATGAATTACCTCTGGCCTTATGCGAGTGACTGCAGTAAACCTGTGTTTAGATTTAGGCTGTCCTCGTGGTTAAGAAGCTGAACTGCAGGCTGTGGAAGGTCAGTAGTTCAGCAGTTTGAGACCCGGGTGCCGCATGACGGAGTGAGCTCCCGTCTCTAGTTTCAGCTCCTGCCAACCTAGCAGTTCGAAAGCAAGAAATTGCAAGTAGATAAATAGGTACCACTTTGGTGGGAAGGTAACAGCGTTCCATGCGCCTTGGTGTTTAGTCATGCCAGCCACATGACCACGGAAACGTCTTCGGACAGCGCTGGCTCTTCGGCAGAACTTGTGACAATCTTAGGATCCCCTGGCTGTTCGACACACAATGCCATACAATAATTAATTACCTCTGGCCTTGAGCAAGTGACTGCAGTAAACCTGTCTTTAGATTTAGGCTGTCCTCCATAACCAGAGATGGAGGCACACTCCATAGCCAGCTGGCTGTAGGCAAGAATATGACTGATTCCCCACAAGCAGCTGTGCCGCCCCTCACTCTTCCATTTGCCCCGGTTGCATTGACGTGCATCTTCCCCCCGATTTCCCCCACGTCTTCTTGATCTCAAAAAACAAGGATCAAGAAGATGCGGGGGAAATCGGGGGGGTCAAAATGCGGCCGCACAGCAAATAGTGTGAAATTGAGCAATACAACTGGGGCAAACGGAAGAGCAAGGGCGGCACAGCTGCTTGTGGGGAATCGGTCTATGTGTCTAGCAGGGCAATCTAGTGCAGAGCTACCCCAATGTAAACCCATCTATCTAAATAAAAAACAGCTCTGTATAGCATTGTATTCTCGGAGAGCTCCTGCTACAAAAAGAGCCCTGCCACCTCTCTGACAAAGGGAGCGTAGACTCTTGAACGCTCATATCCTGAAAATCTGGTTTTCTCCAAGGTGGTACCGGACTCGAATCTT